CTACTCTCCTGCTTTTTAAGGTGTAATATCATCAATGCTGACTTGGCTCCCATGTTACCACGATGCCTGCTAGCTTCAGGTGAAGCTGTGGACCCCTGCTTAGTGTGGGCGAACCTCAGATCTCGGTTCTCCTCCTCTGCTTAAACCCTTGAGCGTGGTCATGTGATGCTGTTCCACCAATGGCTATTTTTCATGTCCTGCAGCTTTCGTCTGTCCCCCCCCCCAATCCGGACAGCAGCTGACTCCATTCCAAACACCAGCCTCTATACCAAATGACCCCCCCCACCCCTGGCCCAAACCAAGGGCTGTGATGTTTAATTTGGCCCTCAGGTTTTTCTGTTCGCTTACGTGAGCATCTCGAAAATGTTGAGGAAAAACATGCCAGCGTTTCTGCGGGTCTCCTCTCACTGTACCGCTGGCAGACACCAGTCACCTTAACTGGTTGGAATATTTTGGAGATTGTACTTAATCCGCCATGGTTGAGTAGACAAACCCCCCAGAAAGTGAGTCTCCCGTGGTAGAGAACCTGAGAGTCAGACTCTGGTGGGAGTCTAAACATCCAGGAGTCAGACAGAATGAGGGGCTGCTGGTCAATATCCAGACCTATAGTCTGGGATTTAGGACAGTGCCTTGTTTGAGAGCTGGTCCGTAAAGCAGAAAAGCCTTACCACCACATACTTTTCAGCTGAGGACCAAGCAGATCAACGTCAGAATCTGATCATGTGGTATGTGTGAGGATTCAGGATGGCAGTGTGCACTCATTAACTGGTCACCTCTGTTACTGTGACGAGGGTGTTAATGACGTTATTTTGGAAGACAGACAATTACAGGAAATGCTTCCATTTTTATGATGCAGGAATGAGAATTATGTCAACGTGTTTGCTGCCTGTTGTGTTAGTGAATTAACCTTGGTGCGTGACCGTGGGCACCTACACGGCGGCTGACTGTGCAGGAGGCATGTTCAAGAGGTTTCCATGGGGATTATCAGCATCCACGCCCTTGCACGGTGGTCACCTCACGTTCATGTGCCATGTTCCTCTGCCACCCCCCATCTTTAGCAGAACCTACCCCCCCCCCCTTTCTCCTAATTTGAGAACCCTGCTCAATCCACCATAGACTCATATCCACACCTCTGGACCAGAAAACAGGCCCCTCACCCCGTGCCCCACTGCTCTCCACTTGTCGGAAACGGAACCATTCCGCGCTGCCGAGCAGGGATAGACGGACGGGTTCAGGCGCATAGGCTGAGCATCTGCAGCTGAGGAAGCGGCATTCCAAAGGGACTAATTACGGAAGCGGATCAGCGCGGACGCCTTGGCCCTGAGCCGTCTCCTCATCCCGCTGAAACGGGAGCAGCCCGGGATGGTCCACAACCTCCACATCCATCAACAACGGCAGTGAACCCCCCCCCCCCCGTTACTCCTGTAGAATGGAAATGCGGACAGAAAAGTCGTCTTCATGCTCGCGGTTTCTACATTCGCCGGGCGTTTTTCTGCCCGCGCTCCATCGCGCCTTTGACGGCGCGTCCGATTCCGATGTGCGGAGAGCGATGAAATAAAAGAGACCTACACATCAAATGCCTTCTCCGAAAAGCCGGGAGCTCCGGGCGGGGGGGTGGTGGTGGTGAGGTGGGGTGGGGTGGGCGGTTGGGTGCAGACTGTCCTTGAGTCCGAAACGGCGGCAGTGGGCGGGTGATGCTCTCCTCCAGGCCGGCCGTTTGATCCTCACAGAGAGCGAGTCAAAGTCAAGCGGTTTGGCGATGGTATTGATCACAGAGGCTCCCCTTCATGTGCTCCAGGACGGGCTTGCAGTTGCCGGGGGGGGGGGGGGGGGGGGGGAGAAGTTTCTCACCAGAAAGTTGTGTCTGAGCTAGGCTGCCTGCTATTTTGTGGGATGAGGAGTCAAGGTCTTTTTTGGGGAGGCGCTGGTGGTTTTTTGGGATTTATGGGGATGGGACAGAGTCAGGGGCGACACAGTGAAAGGGATGTGTGGCACAGTAGGTTTGGAAGCTGTATCGGTAACGAGAAGAGTGTCAGTTCAAATCCTTGGGTCCTTGATCAAGGCCCTAAACGTCTAGTTGCACCAGGGACTGTCTGACCTTGCTTATTAAAAAATGTCGGGTAATTTAATGTAATGCAAACACTGTGTGGCTGAGGGAGAGAGAGCTGAAAGTTGAATTTGAGTGTGTGATTTGGGAAGTTAGAACAGGAGTCACGCCAGCCTCCAGCAACAAGCAGCATTTTTGGCAGATTCATATCTTCAAAATGTGGGACAGGACAACAGTGTTGGAAGGAAACAGGATGGTGTGTTGCTCTGTGTTTAAGGGGGTTGTGTTTTTGATCAGAAGGTTGCCAGTTCAAATCCTGAGATCAGCAGAGTGATTTCACAGGAAGTCATGGCAGCCCCTAGCAGGAAATGGCATAATGAGCCCCTCCCCCTCCTGAGGGTCTCATTGGGGCAGTAAGTAGCTGTGGACCACAGTGTTCAGTAGGGTATGGACATCTCATGACCAATAAGAATACACCCCCTGTCTGTGCTATGTTATATTCCTCCTGCCTTCCTCTTGGTTTCTTCCTGTTCTCGAACCCCCCCCCCCCAGTTGATACCCAGGCAGAAAAGTGTCAGGCGGCTCTTAACCATTTATTTAGGACTGGAAGCTTTTTGCACATGCAAAATGCAAACCTCACCTCACCCTCCCCCCCTACAGAGCCCCAGGTCGAGGTTATTTCTGTCAGAGAGGCTAATTGCTTCAGCTACGAAGGTGGAGCGGGAGCCTGCAGCATGCGGTGACACCGCGGCCCGCTTTATGCCTCCTATTAATAGGAGGTCGATACGTGTGGTCCTCAAAGAGCAGAGGTCCTTTGTGTCCCTCAGCAACCACCGTAGAGTGCCCACTCAAACAGTGACCTCGTCTAGCTGAGATACGGCAAAAGGTGGCAGGCCTCTTTATAGCTTTTAGCTGTGTTTTCGTTTTTTTTTTTTTTACTTTATGCAACGCCGCTGAGACGGATGATCACCTTGGCCCTGATTGGATAAGCAGCAGCTGACAAAACAGACGAATGAAACGCATTCCATTTCACTCTGCTGACACCCTTACGCAGAGCAAAGCTGGAACAAACTGCTAAACCATCCCCGCAACAGATACGACGCATGCATTTTTGGTTACGCATGACTGTTTAGACTCATACCCAAAAAGCACCAGCAGGGAAACCTGATTTTTAACACTTTGCCCAAGCAAGACACGTCCAACATTTGTTCAGTTTCAAGAGCTTTTAAGAAAACAAGTCATGTTAGATCACTATTGGTATGCCTGTGTGATACGACACTGTGCCTGTGTGATACGACGGTGTGGCATGGCGCGTTACGACACTGTGCCTGTGGTTGGCTCAATCCCACGGCTGGCAGAGTGATTTCACCATTGGGCCCTTGAGCGAGGCCCTTAACCCCCACGTGCTCCAGGGACACTCTGCTGCTGTGGATAAAAGCATCTACTAAATAAATAAAACGTATATGTGGATCACTCTGATGAGACTTTCTCTGGCAAACCCAGAGAAACAAATCTAACCCCCTTCTCCCCAAAACATAACACAGTTTCTTTTCTTAGTGTTTTGTAAATCTTTTTCTCACCCTGTCACTGACGGCAAAGTTCCCAGCTGTCACTGTCATCGTGTCTGGTTTTCCCAAGCATTGGGAAGGCAAACTGAATCCATAGCACGTCCCTGGTTATTCCGAATTGGTTTCTGGGTAGAGAGTGCACTTTGAGTTTATTTAAGCCAGTTGCTGTGGGGCATCACAGTCGGTTTCAATAGCTCGTCGGAATTTTATTGCCACAAAAATGTTTTGAGGGCAGAACAAAAAAATGATTGGTTCAGTGAGATAACCAATCAGATTGTAGAGGAGGTGGGTCCAAGCAACTAGAAGAGGCGGGATCAAGACATCTCATTAGTTGCTCCTGCCTCCTCTAGTGGCTTGGATCCACCTCCTCTACAGTCTTATTGGTTATCCCTCTGGACCAATCATTTTCCATTCTGCCCTCAGAACATTTTTGTGTAAGTAAAACTCCCATGTGTGTTTGAATAAAACGGCACGCCAGTCTTTCATTTGTCAGCTGAGCTCTGCATGTTTGCGTTGTTCTTGGCCTCTGATCGGAGAACCTGACACCTTTCATGGAGGAGGTAGGTCCTCCTGCCGCAACGCCTTTGATCATCTTCGGGAAAGGTTGGCCGAAGCCTGGGAGATGTGTGCCGAGAGACTTCATCAAGACGATCTTCACAAGTGAGCAGGGAGACCCATGTTACCCAGTCGGGTTTGTTCACGACAAGCTGTGGGCACCGTAGACAGTGAACAGCTTAACCCAAATTGCAGTTCCCTTCAGAGAAGCCGTGTCTCTTTAGTGAACGGATCACAGAGAGTAACAAGCAACCCCTCGCATGTTGAGACCGGTAATTAATCCGGCCTGAAAGTTAAGGAGGTGTAAACACAAAGAGAAGAAATGTCACGTCAAATATCCGTCACAGCGCCGCTAGCTATTTGGCTCCTCCGGCGTCGATGCTGTGCGCTGACTAGGGAGCAGGGACGACTCTCAGGCTGAGAACCTTCTGGAAATCCTAGCAAAAACCCCAGTGCCCCCCCCCCCACCTCCATAGAGATGTGGAACAGAGGAAAGCCACCATCATACAACCTACCTTGAATGAGTGTAAAGCATAAGAAGACATTAAGCGAAGTGATTGATTGTCATACCACAGCACACAACAACAAAATGTGTCCTCTGCATTTAACCCATATGTGACATCATAGGGGGCAGCTATTATTCAGCATCCAGGGAGCAGTGCATGGGGTAGAACCTTGCTGGTCAGAGATTCGACCCCATAACCTTCCCAAACCATTAGACTGCTGCTGCCCAAACACAGTCACCTGAGCTATAGGTATGTCCCGCCCCTGTGTTGGTAGCGAATGTGACGGGGAGGGGATTGTAATGCTGGGGTGTGTTTGTCTTGCAGAAATGCGGCAGCGGGGGCTGTGCAGGACTTGCGGCTGGATGGTGCTCCTGGCCTCCTGCCTTGTGGTGCTCTGGGGCCGGACAGTGGCAGCCTCGGCGCACAGGAGTCACGTAGGTATGTGGAAAACGTGTGGAACCCCAACGTGGCTCCACATGTGCTGAAGTGCTTCCTCACCCGTGCTGGAGGGCCACAGCCCAGCACACGTGTAAAATTCACACCATATGAAAACTCAATTTTTTTATTTTTCATTTGAAACCCAGGTTAGTTTTAGTTTTTTTTCCAGATGGTTTTATTAGTTTTTATTTTAAAGACATGTTTCTATTTAGCTTTCATATATTTTAGTTCCAGTAATTTTTAGTAATTTTATTTTTAGGGATAGTTGAATGTGCCTGATTTTAGAGACTCCTATAGGAGTACGGAGTGCACTTATGTCCTCAAAATGGGCAAAACATGTTCCAGGTATTATTAATGGCAATTAAAGATAAACAAATCATTACTTTAGCTGAATAGTATTTAAAAATGGCAACAGAAAATATTAGATGTTCGTTTTTATTTTATTTCAGTTAGTTTCGGAAGCAGTATTTATAGTTTTATTTTAGTTGTAGTTTTTATTTCATTTTTGTGTCATTTTATTTTACAAAACTGGTTTCATTTGGGATTGTAGCCCTGCGTGTGAGAATTTGTCAGTTTGCTTCCACTCTTATTTTCAGATGTGAATGTCAGGGGATGTAAAAAAAAAAGCATTGAAACTCCATCCATCCATTTTCTGAAACCACTTGTCCTGTTCTGGTGTAGGGGGGGGGGGGGGGGGGGGTTCTGGTGTAGGGGGGGGGGGGTCTGGAGACTATCCCAGAGGCTACAGGCACAATCCAGGATGATGGGGCACCAACCCATCACTGGGCACACCCAAGAAACCATTCACTCACACATATGAGAAATTTGTTAACTCCCATTAACCTCGGATGGTGGGGAAATCAGGAGAACCTGGAGGAAACACTAACGACAACAGGGGGAAACATGCAAACTCCACACACAGAGCCACGGCCGAAACCCTGGTCCCAGAGGTGCGAGGCAACAGTACTAACCGCTGCACCAGTATGCCACCCTGGTGTTGAAAATATATAGTCTATTTTTGGAAATTAAGCAACCCCTCCCCCAAACCCCCAGGCCATTTCCATGGCCCAGTGAAATACTGGTTGTGGACTGGCAGCTTGGAACCCCTGGTGTAGGACATTTAAACCGCTTAAAATTCCTTTAAAACCCCAAGGCCACATTTGTGCCCCGAGGTCACATGACGCCTCACAGGACCGCGGTGTTCTGGGGATGAGAGCACAGCCTCCGGAAAAAGTAACAACTGACCTGCAGCGGAGCTCCGACCGGTCCCAGCGAGAGGCCGGAATCAGGATAATGAATCACTTCCGCCGGAGGGAATAGTGGTTTAAAGGTCGGAGAGGGAGGATGTGCAGTCGGGAAGGACCCAGGAGGGAGACTGATTCTGAATTCATTTGGGTCCGCTGGTCAGGGGAATTCCGGGTCTTCTTGCACACCTGTGTTTGAGGCTAGTCATCATTTTCACATGTGCTTAGCAGATGTGGGGAAATGTAGTGGTTATAGCATAGGGTCCCGAAAAAATGCATTTCTGATGCATTCCAGTAGAGGGAGGCTTTTGGGCTGGATACTCTGTGTCACCCACAGTCTTCTGCTGGTTCTCCCTCAGCAGCTGACTGTCCTGGGTGGTGGGGGTGGGGTGATTGATTACCAGGCAGGCAGCTATGGCTCAGATCACAAGAGCAAACCAATCATCCCCGTCATCATTCTTTGCAGTGAGGTAATCAGATAATTACCCCATGCTGCCCCCGGTGGGGCCAAGGTGAGTCGCGGACCAATAAACCCATCGACCCCTTTGTGTTGGCAGGTCACCTAACTCAGGCATTTCGGTGTTAAACTGCGCCCTGAGTGGAGGAGCTTCCTGGCTCCCATAATGCAAAGCAACGAAGGTGGAGTGTAATAAGGTTGGCTGCTTTGCAGGAATTATGGCCCCCCTTATAGCCCCCACCTTCAAAAATCCTAGAATTGCCACTGGAGTCCCTGCTATTTTCAGACCTAAAAAGCATTCTTTCTATTTGGATAAGGCAAATACCACAACTCAGAGAGTAACAGTATTGGCTCGATTCCTGGGAGATAAGAAAATGAAAGCATTGCATGAATCAGATTCTGAATAGACACTCCAAAATGAGAGCAACGTCTTTATTTTCTGTGGCCTCAAATCGCAGCTTCAACACACTGCTCTAGTTCTGCACAAAACCGCTGCTTAAAGTCACAGTCGCATTACCATTAATGAAAAACGGCGATGTGTTGGATCAGTGTGACAAGTCCAGTCCGCTTCTTATTAGCTACTTTATTGATTACTTTCGGGTCTAACCGAGCCAGTTTCAAAGCGCACTTTCGACTTTTTTTTTTTATCTTTGTTTAAGCATTGCAGTTTTAGCACAAACAGTTCTGTTTAGCTGTGCTTCATTTTCCTCAAGGTGAGAAGGATCCAGCTTAAGGGATCTGGAGAGGAATCCATTTATACATCCCCCTAATCTGACAGCTGTGAAGGCAATTAGCTCTCATGCTAACACAGACATTTTTTAAGCGTCACTCGTCTTCTCGATAGTATGCTGGTCACTTAAACAAATTGCCTTCTATCTTTAGCCGTTAGTAATCATGGCCATTTAAAAAGCGAATTACTTCCCGTGTATTTCATGGCCTGCTGTCACTTTCTGATTAGCAGATTCCCTTATTAGCGATGACATTTTATACTCACTAAATTTCGCCTCTCTTTAAAACTAAATATGAGCGGCATGAAAATAATAATAATAAAAGTTGTATTGTTTCTTGTTTTGAGATTGCAATCCATGTTTCAAAGTTGAAGTCAGGCTGCCGAATGTGGATCCTTATTTCCGAACTATAAACATCGTCTCCAGAATAATAAGATGCCAAAATAGAAGAAAGGTAATGAGGAAACATCGCAAGCAGGATGACAGGTAGACAGATATGCATTTAATGTGTATCATCTCAAACACTGTAGACAGCTTGATCATCTTCGCGTTTCAGCTGAACGCTCATTAATCCAGACAGAAAAATCGGGTGTATTGTCCTAACAGTGATTTAACCCCCATTTTGATTGCAAATCAGTCCATTGCATAAATACTAAAAATATTCAGAAGCGTTCGAAAAAAAATCATCATTTATATATTACTCGGAATACATGTATACTTTGCATTCTTATTTGAATTTTAGTATTTATTAAGGGTCAGTTGATGCAGTGTTTTCTAAGGCTGCACGTAAGATTGATTATTTCTTTCACCTTTAACTTCCTCTGATTAAACTCCTTTCACCTGGATTAGATGCGGATCATCTGTCGGACAGCAGAAGGAAATGCAGCATCCATCACTATCTGTGTTTCTGCCATCCGATATTTCACCTGCACCATAGGAAGACCTAAGGAAAAATACTTAAAAGACTTAGAGTTCATTTTAGTGAGCGCTTTACATTTTTATTAAATTACATTTCAAAAGTTGAAACAAGGACACAGTAGCTGAATAGATAGAGGATTTCTAGACTTGACTGTTTCAGCCAACATGATTTTGCAGAATTTACATAAATCGTATGGAAACCTGTGCCAGGAAGGAAATGCATTAGACAGTCTGTGCCAGGAAGGAAATGCATTAGACATAGTCTATGTCAGGAAGGAAGTGCATTAGACATAGTCTATGTCAGGAAGGAAGTGCATTAGACAGTCTATGCCAGGAAGGAAATGCATTAGACATAGTCTATGTCAGGAAGGAAGTGCATTAGACAGTCTGTGCCAGGAAGGAAGTGCATTAGGCATAGTCTGTCAGGAAGGAAGTTCATTAGGCATAGTCTGTGTCAGGAAGGAAGTNTGTCAGGAAGGAAGTTCATTAGGCATAGTCTGTGTCAGGAAGGAAGTGCATTAGACATAGTCTGTGCCAGGAGGGAAGTGCATTAGACAGTCTGTGCCAGGAAGGAAGTTCATTAGACATAGTCTGTGTCAGGAAGGAAGTGCATTAGACATAGTCTGTGTCAGGAAGGAAGTTCATTAGACATAGTCTGTGNCATTAGACATAGTCTGTGTCAGGAAGGAAGTTCATTAGACATAGTCTGTGTCAGGAAGGAAGTTCATTAGGCATAGTCTGTGTCAGGAAGGAAGTGCATTAGACAGTCTGTGCCAGGAAGTAAGTGCATTAGACATAGTCTGAGTCAGGAAGGAAGTGCATTAGACATAGTCTGTGTCAGGAAGGAAGTGCATTAGACATAGTCTGTGTCAGGAAGGAAGTGCATTAGACAGTCTGTGTCAGGAAGGAAGTTCATTAGGCATAGTCTATGTCAGAAAGGATATTTGGTTGAACTTTTGATTTAATTGACTGCGTGAGTAAAGCATTCCTACCATGTGGAAAAGAGACCTGAAATATCTCACTCTACATGCTTTGGGAGAATGCCTCACACTCATACATAAGGTTATGTCCTCTAGGTTATGGCCAGAGGTGGAGATTTCAGGTCCAGGGAGTACAAATCCAGACCAAGATTTTGTTTCTACCAACCAGTTCAATATAAGGAGTCACAGTCACAGAGTACTCAACTGACTGGTTGAAACAAAATCTTGGTCTGGATTTGTACTTCCTGGACCTGAAATCTTCACCCCTGGTTACGGCTGATGACAGACTGAGGAGGCCGAGGTGTCCAGCTCCTGCACTGTTGGGGCGCTGCTTCTTACATCATCTCATTTGATCTCTCACCATTATCTTACTTTGATGGGGCTGTAAGGGCGTTCATCTGCTTTGTCATATCCTTGTATCTAAGAGATCATTGCATCAGACTTCTGATGCCTAATAAAAGCCATATTCACACATGAGAAATCCTAGAGTATCCTTCTCAGTTTTATCTGTGGAAAACCCCTAAATTATATACTTTTGAAACTGAGTAAATCATAGAATTCTAATCATGGGTTGGATCTAAGTTCTCCTGCTATCTAATGATAACTATCTCTACTTCCCATGTAAAGTGAACTTCAAGAATATACTTGGGCATTAAAAGGTCTAATTCCTTCA